GAACGCTAACGCGGAAATGGTGGTGATTGAGCCGCACGAGAGCATATAAAGGGCGATGTGGACTGAGATATAGCCGGCGAGGAGGGCTGCGAGATCAGCATAAGGACGAGACCAGTGATCAGGGTGTGAGTTAACATAGAGACGAGGAAGGGTATGGTTGATAGAATCTTGTGAATCCCGAAGAGCCCTACGATACCGGTCTCACCGTCGGCGTCGGAGCCGAATGTGGCCAGCAGAGGAATAAGGCCAAGGAAGATCGTATTAATGCAATCAGTGACTTTGTTCCAATGGTCCAAAATCCTTGCGCAAACAAAAAATAGAAAAAGGATTAATTATATAATTCAAAAGGATTAGCGCGCGTATTATAGAAAAGAAAAGTCTTAGTCTTGGGGAGTACGGAGATTCTGAGCTGGTTGTAAGAGAGGTTGACCTAGTGGTGAATCCGGTGAAACATCAAGCTCGTGTTGAAGCGGCGGTGCAGCTAACTTCGACAGCCATGAGCCGACTCGGCGGCGTTTCAGCTTGATCTCACTGTCGCTAGAGACGAAGGATGAGTGATTGGAATTCTTGTGGGAGACCACCGTGGAATGCTTCCTTTTCTGATGGGATTCGACGGTGGATTGATTTGGGTTCTTCTCGGAGCCGACTGATGAGACTTCCGGCTTCTTCTCAGATGAGACTTTCGAGTTCTTCTTGGAGACGACATCGACTGATGAGACTTGCGGGTTCTTCTTCTCGGAGACAATCGACGAATTCATTTTTTAAAAGATTTTGTTGTAGTATGGATAGGTGAGTATATGGAACACAATGCTGAATATATATAGGCAAATTAAAGTGTCAGGAACGTAGAAATTTTTAGCAAAAAAAAAAGAACGTAGAAATTACCAACAAAAGATTTTACTTTTTTTTTTAATACCTTTTTCTTTTCTTTTTAAAATATATATTTTCACACTCTTATATCATGCAGATATTTACAAACTTTTTTAAGTATATATGTTTACAATAAAGTTATCAAATAATCTTCAAAAATTGTTCGTGTATTTTAAATTATACTATATTTAGGGTACAAAATTATGTTTAATCCACTAAAATAAATCATACGGGTATACATAAGATAAAATGCTTCTTATTTTTAAAAATTGAAAGTTATAACGAAACACTAACTAATAGTGGCCATGTATGGCCGAAGAAACCCCCTTGATCTTATAAACGATTAAGAAGTGATTAATGTAGCAGAAGACTATTTTCTATCATCATTAAACTTGGCTTATATTCATTCTTTTAACAAATGAAAAATCGCTCTACCTTGATTCTAAAAACCCAATTTTATTTGTACCACATAGCTAGCTTCATCAAAAATAAAGGTTAAAAAAACTCATTGTTGTGAGAATATTTAACCGATAATCAGTAATTCAAAAAGTTGAAATCTCACCTAATGTTCTTGCAAGTTGCATCAAACCTTTATTATGATACGACAAAACAGAAAAAAAAGTAAGAAGAAAAATTGTGTATAGTATAGTCGTAATATGTATCAGTAAGGAAAACTAATGAATCAGGAAAACAAAATAAATGACAACTCTTTGGTGTAAATAATATTTCAGCTTTATATCAAAACAGAAATGTACAATTGATAACAATTAATGTGTGTTTTTTCTTCAAACAATGCTGACTTTGTGTAGATATATATAGGGTGTAAATGATAACGGCTGAATGTGGCTGAATTTTTTGTGATTTTTTGCAGAATCTTGCGGAATAATTTAAAACTTAAATGGTAACAGCTGAATCTGGCGGAATCTGGCTGAATTTTTAAAAACTAATAAATAAATTAAAATTATAAAAATAATATTTAAGAAATGTTATTTGACAACAAAAATAGTTAAATAAACTAGTAAAATATTAATTTAAAATTTGATATATATTAATAATTTTACTAAACATAAGATAACAACATAATTTGACACAA